TTTTTTTTTTTTTTTTTTTTTTTTTTTTTTTTTTGGTCGACAAACCCGTAAACCCATTATGCAATGTGAGGCTTCTCTTTTTATTTATCATAGGCTCGTTTGTAACTATCTTTAATAGCACTACCCTGAAACTATACACACCACTCTTCTCGCTTAGGCAGTTTGTTCTGTTGTACGTAACATATTGTATTAGAGAGAGAGATTCAATCAATCTCCTTTTTGTTAGTTTAAACACACAAACAACAACAACAATTCGATTTACCAAATATGGTTTTATTTTTACAAAGGAAAATTTTTACGGATGCAATAAGAGTTTACATTTGCTTGTTCAAACATTAATTGAGAAACTCTCAAATTTATCTGGCTCCAGGGATAAATTCAGAAGCAGAAGAGAGACTAAAGTTGACAGAACCTCTCGAGGACATCTCTTCACTACCTTGTTTCCTTGCATTTTCTAAGGCCACACACTGGTTTAGCTCCATCACAACGTGTGCCATTGTTGGTCTCCTGTTCGAAGACGGGTTCACACAAGCTAGAGCCAGCTCTAAAGTCTTCCACGCACCGTTCGTGACATAGTCCCCCATTAGTTTTGGGTCAATGATGCTCCTGATGTCTCCCTTAGTGAGCATTAACACAGCCCACTCATTGATGTGAGGTCTCTCCCGCTCTTTATCTATAACAGGCTGGTTTGTGATAATCTCTAACAACACTATACCAAAGCTATATACGTCGCTCTTCTCGCTAAGCGAGTTTGTCTTGTGGTACCTGAAATAGTATATCAGTTTCTCATCAGTCATTTGAGTAACAAAAGCAAACACAAGTGATGATAACTGATTGATTTCACTCACTCGGGGTCTAGGTAACCAGGTGTGCCCGCAACAGCAGTTGACACGTGGTATTCGCCATCGATTGGGAAAGATCTAGAGAGCCCAAAGTCAGCTAATCTTGCTTCATACCGCTCATTCAATAAAATGTTGGTAGTTTTCACATCTCTATGGACCATAGGAGGCCTACATCCATTGTGCAGATACTCCAATCCTGTTACAAATGGTTCAGATTCTGTCAATTTTGCTTTCAGACATCACAAACATAACGTTCATAATCACCTTTTTCTTGTCATGAATTAGACAAAAAAAGAAAGGTACAGAGAATAAGTCAGGTTTTGTTCACCTTGTGCTGCCTCTACAGCTATCTGCATCCTGTTTTCCCATGTTAGTATGTTGCCTCCACGTTTTCCTGTAATGGGCTTTTGAATTTCTAAAAATCTGGAACTAAATAGGAGTTTTTTGGGTAACAATGTATACCTGACATGTGCTCCCTCAGGTCTCCATTTGCCATGTATTCATAAATCAAAGCCAAGTTATCTCCATCTTCACAGTATCCAACAAGTCCCACCAAATGTCTGTGATGAACTCTTGAAAGAAGTTCAACCTAAGAAAGATAACAAAATGATCATTTCATGATTAGAGAAACTTAACATTACTTTAAAAACAAGGATTAACATATTTTTAAGAAAATACCTCTGCTTTGAATTCTTTATAACCTTGAGCTGATGAATGAGAGAGCATTTTCACAGCTACTTGAGCATCATCTAAGTTTCCATGATACACTGTTCCAAAGCCTCCTTTCCCGAGAACTCTCTGGAAGTTATTTGTTATCTTCAATACCTCGGAATACGTAACCCTGATGTCCTTTGTTATGATTGTTGGATTGGATGACCGTGTCTGTGTCTCACTACCGGCAGTGATTGATGGGGGTCCTGTAAATGTAAAATTGTACAAAAAGATAAGTGAAATTAATAGAGTAGAATAGCTCGATCTGGTGATTCATTCATACATACCCCCAGTATTTTCCCTTTTTTTCTTTCTAACAACGAGTAAGATAGCCAAGATAACAAAAAGTATGAAGACTCCAGCCATTGGCGCTGCGATAGCAATCACTGGAACCTTTTTGGTCTCTTTTATTGGAGTTTCACTCAAACTGTAATCATTAATAGTTATGAGAAATCAGATTAAAAAGAAAAAGTAAAAAAGTTTAGTGTGGCACTACTCAAAATAACAAGAGACGGAAACAATGAAGTATGAATATCTTACATTAGTTTTAAAGAATTATTCTTTAACCGTTTCTGAAGAGAGTCTGGAATTGTGCTATTCAGCTTTGGATTTCCACTTAGGTTTCTGCAAATGAGAAAGCTAAAGCTTTGAGAACAAAACAAATATAAATAAACAGAGAGAAAGTGTTGATATAAGAAGCTCACATGAGTTTCAACGACTTCATATCAGCCAAAAAATCTGGAATAGATCCTGATAGATCATTGTTTGATAAATCCCTGTCCATTTAATATAGAAAAAAAAAATTTGTGCAGTCACATACTCAAGTATTATATCAAATACATAAGTTTATTGGTGTTGGGTCACTTACAGTTCTATCAACTGTGTCAGCTTGGTAATTTCAGGTGTTATGCTACCAGTCAACTTGTTCTCTGCCAAGTTCCTAATATATCCAAAGGAGTTAGAATTTGGGAAACACCGAAACTGAAAGAACCCTTGAGATGATTCATATGAACAAACAAAACAAAACATACAAGGTTATGATCCCCTGTGGCTCGTATTTTGGATAAGTGCAGTTTACACCCTCCCACCGAAATGCCTTAGGAGCACATGGATCTCCTTGCCAGCTAACTTTTTTCTCCAACTCATAATTTCTCTTGATGTTAACCATAGCAGAAACTGATCATTCAGCACATTTCATAAACCAGGCAAAGTCAAAAGACAGAAAGTTTTTGAATGGATTGATAAAAGTTTCATGTAGATGCTTGAATTACCTTCATCTTGGTCTGTCTCGGGCTCTGGAAGATCTAAAACATTATAAATCTCGATGGCGTTAATAAGAGGTGGAAGACTTGAGTTACCGGTCATGGCAAAAGTGAAAATCAAGTTCCCATCTGCAGAACTAATAGCTGCTGGACTGAATAAAGTTGTTATGCTCAAATTTGAAGGCCTAAAATAGGAGGACAATTCTTGGTCATCATTATAAGTGATGCTAAATTCTCTAATCTCATTAGCTCCAAGTTTCTGGATTTCAGCGAAATGCATGTAAATATATGACTCTGCATTGGTCTCGTCGAGACTCAAATCTAATGTCAAAGGCTGACTAGCATTTTTAGGGACAGCAGCAGTCCTAGCCACACGTTGTGGCACATCGTAATAGTTATCTGTATCGACCACATTGTCCGTGCTAATTGACATCATTTGCTCGTCTAATGAGTATGGATTCCATGCTCGGTCGTGGATGTCGTCAGCATACCTGGAAAATGAGAGAAAATTGAAGGCCCTATTTTTTTTTTGTCAACACAGAGAACAAAACAACAAACTAGATTTTGACATGTACATCAGTGCGATTATTGTTTTAATTGTTAAACACATTTTGCATATACTTTTTCTTATAATCTAGGTAATTCAGACACTCTGAAAGAAATCCGACTAGTGTCTAAGCACATCTCTGTAGAAGATATCCTAGAGTACCGTCTTTTTCATCCCATTTTAATCAACGGTAGCCAACAAGATTTATATTGGGATTCATATTGGGACAGAAGTTCTCTCAAAACCATTGAACCGTCCTCGCTTGATTCATTTTGTATATATTTATTATATATAAATCTTGATATTAGTATTGGCTTATTATTTGTATTGAATGCTATTTTATTTTTTATTATATACAATATTGAATGTTGTTTTGTTTTTTGGACTTCTAACACATAAAAAATTATTAGTAATATAATAAGTAAGCAATTGTTTGAATTGTTATTTATTTTATGTCAAATTTATTTCATGTACATGTATATTTAAAAAAATTAAAGAGTAAATATATATATAATATAAACGGACTACTTATTTTTGGATATGAAAATGATATGTTTTAATATTTATGGAATGGTAAAATGAATTTCTATTTTTTTATCCTATTATTTGTATTAATTTATATATACACAATCAATTATGAATTAAACTAATTAATTATTTATTTTTTTAAGAAAAAAGAATTTATTAAAATATATTTTAGTTTGAAACAATTTGTTGACGAAGATTTGTTAAAATAATCTAATCTATTAAAATAGAGTCATATTTGAATTTTACAGTGACATGTTTTTAATTTGGACTTATTGAACATGTTGTGACTAAACAGAAAATATGCCACTTATATTTAATACATTATGATGACTGATATACTTAAATTAAACCAACTTATAATTATACATAATTACTCAGGTTTTCTAATACAGTGACAAAATTTAACCAAAGTCATATCTAAACAACCAGAAAGCTTTATTGTAAACCTGTCTTTCATTAGACCAACTTCGGTTATCAATAACCTATTCATATCAGATGCTTTTAAACACACATTTCATCTTATGTTCACATGGCTCGGCAAGTTCAGACATAGCTAATCAGGTCATCTAATACAATGACATAATTAATTTAAAATCATATTTACTCAACTTAATCTTTAAAAAGTTTCAATTCAAACGTTTGGTTTAATATATAAACCGGTTCATTTTCTTATTTGATATATTTCAAATTCCAGAGATAGTTGTATATCTAATAAATATTACACTAAAATTACCAAGTTTGAATATTATTTAACCATTTTCAAAAGAATAACAAACAATATCTTCTATTGTAGATACATAAATCGTAACCATATATTGCTCTACAACAGAAAAGAAGAATATGCCATATGAAAATTTACCTAACTAAATATCATTTGTGCTTATTATTGGGCCTAATGTTAATAATAGATCCATTATTTTAAAATATATTTAACACTAAGAAAATTAATATTTGAAGTTATGTAACAAAACTAAACTATAATTAATTTATAATCCTAATTATTATATGATAATAGTTAATATATTGAATAATACAGTTTTACATTTACAATGTAGAAAACTGTCTCCGAGTATATTATTAGTGCTATATACAACAAATTATTTTTGGTAAATCAGTAGATATCCAAATCAATGTAAATAAATAATTTTATATTGCGTAAATAAAAGTTTTCAATATCTTTATTGTCGTATCTACAATAATCTTTGAAGATTTTTTATGTCTATATACATGTAGAGAAAATCATTATATCCAATTAATATAAAACATAAAATAGAAACCACATATTTGAAACATTTTTAATAGATTAGATTATCATGACAAAAATGAAAAAGTTGCTCATCACTGTAATTTCCAATACCAAAATACAACTTATTGTAAAAAATACAATATATAATACCAAAATAATATTCACTATAATTACACAATATATAATAGTACACTCCAAATACGATGTTAAAACATATACTTATATCTCATAAATAAATTCAGAATAATGATATAAAAGTGAACCTTAACTGTGCACTAGATCTTGACCCGCACAACCGTGCGGGTTTTTTATCTATTTATAATTTATAAAAAATATATCAATAAAAATATATTTATTTATAAAATTTTACAAAATACTAAAGCAATAAATGTCAAAGTATCATTTTTAAACACAACATGAAAATATAAATTATCATTAACAAATATTTAACTATAGTATATCTAAATAAATGTATTGTATGCAAATTGTAGAAACTAAAAATTTATATTAAAATATTATATATTTGATTACTTCAGATTATAATTTATGTATCAAAATCCAAAATATATTAATAAGTAATAACAATCCATAAGAATATAAATTATAATATTTAAAACAAATTACTACTCCCTCCGTTTCATAATATTTGTCAGTCTAGGCTTATTTTCTTGTCACAAATTAAGTGTTGTTTTAGAGTTTCGATGCAAAATTTATTAGTTTTTTATAATATTGTATTTTTCTATTGGTTGAAAAGTGGTTAGGTGTATAGGTAATTGTGTTTTTATCTTGAAAATATGTAAAATTAAATATTTCCTTAATCTGTGTGCAAAAACCTAGAATGACAACTAAATTGAAACGGAGGGAGTATATATTAATAATGACGAATAAGAAACTTAAACAACAAAATTATAAACTTATAAAATATATATATAATTAAATGTAAATCATATATTTAAATTTTTACAATACTATCAAAGTTTTATATTTACTTCGTTTTAATAGTATAGATAGATAAATATATAATATATTATTTTGTATATATGAAATTGAATTTTATTTTTTTCTAACATAATCTATTTTAATTTTTTAAATAAGTGTTTTTGAAACTCCAATAATTTATATTATAATTCTCATTAAAAAATATAACTAAAAATATTTTAGATAATTTTAAATTTCCATTTATAAATAAAATAATAATTTTAATGATATTTTATGGTAATTAGAATTTGAATTCAATGATTTAAGGAAATAAAATTTAAAAAGATGTCAAAAAGATTTTGTTGGATTTATTTCATTTCTATTTTAAATAGAAAGATAAAGATACTTAACGATATTATCATTAGATTTGTAACATTTGATTATCTTTCTAAGGAATAGTCCATTTTTAAAAAAATCACACATGAATCAAAGTTGTGACTTCTGTTTTAATATATAAGATGGCGCGGGTGGTATTCTAATTAGTAGTTACTATTAAAATTAGGATTAGTTAGTTTCTATTGACATTAGGTATAATTAAAAGGGTATTTTAAAGGTTAGTTTATATTGATACTTCAAGTTAAATAAGATAGACAAAATAAATATTTTATTTTACCTGATGTATGATGCAATGGGTGCAAAGAAAAATCTTGAGACCGAAATCAATGACCCGCTTTCCGTGACGTAGGTTTCGTTGTGTAACGGACGAAGTTCCAAGGAGGAAATAAACGGAGTCGTTTCTCCTGTCTTAACAAGACAAACTTGAAGATGGTCTTGTGTTAAGACATGGATCATCTCATGGAATAAATCTTCTGCGACCCCAGAGATTGAAACAGAAATCCATTTGTTAGGACCAATGTGGAGATCAAAGCTTGGGAGTTTATTCTGACCGTCATAGTTCCCATAAATAAAGGATCCGGAGATCAGATATCTGCGGTTAGCTGTGAGGTTGAAGTTGTAGCAGTTTCTTGCACCCTCAGGGAAGCTTCTTAGTGTCCAAGTCTGTTGCTGAAAGTTCTGTTTGTACTCATCACGGATCCTTCCGGCCAGTCCACTGTCGATGTAATTTGCATCTGATGTGTATATTATATTCGTGGACTTCTCCGTATAAGTTGCGTGCTCCGGAACCAACCCACAAGCCAAACTGATGAATTCTGTTAATCAACATTATTAAACTCCAAAAGGGTTTCTTATGCAGAGGAATCAAAGCTTCAAAAGATTTCATAAGAAGAGAAATTAAAAAAGCTGATCAAAGAAAAGTGAACAGAGGAAGAACCTGACTGATCTGAGCTTGAACTGTTTCCAAAATTCCATAAGCTGTTATCAAGAGCAGCAAAAAACCATGAAAACACTTCATTTTTTCCTTTTTTTTTTCTTTGTTGTGTGTGCTCTGGTTCAAAGGAGGCTATATATATAACTCTTTTGCCACTGGTATAGATCAGGAGCTAATCTGGAAGATGGATTCATAGGGTGCATGATTGGCGAAGACTGAGATAACATTGTACGGGTCAACTCGCTTCATATGTTGCATGCCGTGCAATCCAATCCAGTCCTATATATATCCCCACAAATGGGGCAGCGGTCACGAGCACGTCGAGTAGGGGCCTTTTTGGAATTTCTTTATCTGTCTCTGTCTTTTTCCTCGTTATTGGAATTTGCCTGACCAATACCTATGTTCTTCTGGCTATATCTGCACTTGCATTTTACTTCTCGTCTCAATTTTGCCACAAAAATCTGCATGAAAATGCTGCCAAGGTACTCCGTTTTGTATTGAGATTTTTTTACTCTTCTTATCTCTATTTTCACTCTAGTTCTTCTTACTCTTTGCGGTTCTTGCCTTTTGGGTACGACTTTTCCGCTGGTGAACGCTTTCATTAGCAACTCTTGAAATTACTTGCATTTTTTTGGTGTCATGTCATTTTGCTTTGTTGTAGTCGCAGAAGTTGCTTCCAACAAAAATGTGGCTGTGATCCATCCACTCCGTTCCACGGTTTTTTTATGGCCACTCCAGCGGAGTCAATTTCCAGGACTTGTCCGTCTTCAGCAACAGAGTAAATGTTGCTCTTCTTGTTAAAATATATTTTATTCAGTAAAATTTTTATTTATATTTTATATATCACCATATATTAAAAGTTATTTTCAAATTAATAGGGTCAATTTTGATAATTTTAGCTATGTGCGCTATTGTGGCGAAAAATAAAATTATAAGGACTAACATATAAAAAGTTAAAAATCTCTATAATATTATTTGAGAAGTCACTTTCTTAGGTGTCGCGTTCACGTTAACTCTCACGCTGGTTGATTACTATGATACCCCTAATAAATTAAAAATACAATTAAATATTATTTTCTTTTTAAAATTTTCCAAATAACAATATAAAATAAAATGGAAACATTTATAAAATTTACAAAACTATTTAAAAACGAAAATACAAGTATATATAATATGGTTTAATAAAAAAAGGAAAGTTCACAAAATAGTAATATTTAATTTAAATATATTTTAAATAGCATAAAATATACCTTTTAAGTAATAAAATACTTTATATCTATATCTTCTTAGATAAAAAAACAAAATATGTATATAATGTGAATTCATAAAAAAAATTCACACAAAAAATATTGCTATTAGAAAAAAGAAATATTTTTTCTTTATATATATATATATTTTTTCAAAATAATTATTTTTCCTATATATCTATCTATTTTATTAGATGATTACATAAAATAATCAACTAACATAAATTAATATATGTTTAATTGACATTTTTTACAATTAGTATTATTGAAATTATTTTTTAGTATATTGATTTGACTATAATATCTTACAATTACAGTAAAAATATAAATTATATTTTATTAATATAGTATAATTTCTCAAAAACAATCAATTTTTACTGACTATTTTATGAGATACTAAAAATAAAACTACAAAATAAATTTAATAATAAAAATCTTTTGATCAAGTAACTACAATTATTTTAAAATATCACAACAATATATAATTTAACGAGGTAGATATATTATATTTTAATAGTTAAAATTATATGTTTTAAGAATAAGGATTCTGATTTACTTAAGTATTTTGATTATGGTTATATTAAGTTTCACAAACATCAAAACAGAAAATAACTACAATTATTTTAAAATACCATAACATTGTACAATTTAACGAGGTAGATATATTATATTTTAATAGTTAAAATTATCTGTTTTGTTAATAAATCTTTTGATTTTTAATTTTCTGTTTTTATGTTTGTGAAACTTAATATAACCATAGTCAAAATACTAAATCAGAATCCTTATTTTTAAAATTATTTAAAATAAATTTTAGTTTACCATCCAATCAATCTAAAGCATAAATTTGTTTAGAATTTATAAAATATTTTAATTATTGTAAATATTGATATGTGTTCAAAAGCTTCTAAAAATTCATTAGTTACTTATGTATGTAATTTAGAATCAGACACTTTAGTTTTTATTTTTTTTCCTTCTAAGCACAAAAAAATCTTAAGTTATAATAACTTACTAAATATACTTATATTTCTAAGATAACAACCAGCATAAATGCAAATAAGACAATTAATCAAAAACTTAATATATTTAAACTATAAAAGATTATAGTTGAATTCAGAGAAATAGATAGAATCCAATATATCTAAATGATAACTAAATTGACCGTAAAAACAATAAAATAGACTAAATATAACATATCTAAAATTATATATATAATTAAAGTAATATAATATTATAATATAAATTAGACTTACAAACTATAAATTAATTTAAAAATTAAAGTAAATATCAATCAATTATTATTGTATATTTATTTTATAAATATACATGTCCGTGCATGAGCACGGGAAAATCACCTAGTAAGAATTATTTTAGTATGAACTGACACATTCTAGGTACTTGAAAGTAACACATGTGTTCAAATTTTTGAGTCAGGTTCGGACCGGTTTCTTTCAGATATGGGTTCTTTGGATCCTGAACATTTAGATCCAACTAGATATTTAAAAATTTCCGGTTCAAATTTGGGTCGATTCCTCTCAGGTTTGGATTGGTTCTGATCTATAATTAAAATACTTATAATATATCTGTAATATTTTTTGACCTGGATTTATATCTGGTCAGGTTCGGGTTTTTAGAATCCAAAAAAATTACGAAATACCAAACTCAATAAGATTTAACTAATTCGTCATACTTATCTAAAATTTTTAAAAATAAATAAAACTAAACTATTAATAACTAAAATAAAACATTTTAAACTCAAAATTTTATATTTAAAGTTCATATTTTTAAAAAATGTTACAAAAAATAAAGATTTTTAATAAAACGATATTTTAGCAAAATCATAGTTATGATTCATGTAATTAGGTTGGGTATGAATCGATATTATCGAATCAAATCTATTCAGATCGGTTCTTTTCGGATCCGGATTTATTCGGATCGATTCTTTTGTTATGGTTCTTTTGCGTAGAAGAATTTCAGGCTTAATAGATACTTATAAATTAACGGTTCAGTTTCGGGTCGAATATTTTCAGATCTTCGGGTCCGGATTAAATTCCTAGACCTAGTTATGAGATGTGTCTGTGCCGTGTAAAATAAATATGGATATGCAATATTATTAAGTGTAGAAAGCTTTTGGTATATTGATATAATTGTGTTTTACGCCACTTAAAAATATCAGCAAAGGCTGACTCCGAATCAAGGTGACTACGGGCCTACGGATTGCGGAACTCCACTGTTATTAAAAAGAAGTATATTAAATTATTAATATAGTTTGGACATTTCTTTTCTCAGCAACTAGTAAATCTGGAATAAGTAAGCGGCTTTCCCCTCTAAAGGTTCTGATGAGTCCAAATCCATGGTTTTTGTATCATATTCGTACAGATTTTTTTTATAAACTAGTGTATCTGATAAATGTAAATCATCAATAATAAAGAATAATTAAACAGAGATTTTTCAGTCAAAAAGTGCGTTAATCAATACTATAAAAGAGAAGAATTCCAAAAAAATCTACTTATACAAATTTTTTGGACCTTTTTATTAAATTTAACTATTTTTTGGTCTTACTTTATATTTATCTAACTATATGATAGTTAATGCTTTTATTTATTATTCACATTGAAAGCAAGAGATGTTTTAGAGAATGAAAAATAGATATTACTGCAAAAATTAATTCAATTATGTTCTAGGATTAATAAATGGACTATGAATTAACCATACTAACATTTAATGCTATAACTTAGAGCACCTTCATCAATGAACTTGGAGAGGGGGCTCACAGATTTTATTTTTTTATATTTTTTTACTTTTTTGTTTGATTTTTTTTTTAAAAAAAAAATAAGCGGACCAATCGCGGACCGCCACGTGTCATGGGGTCCGCGAAGCTCCCATGATATTGCCTCTTCCCAATGAATCTGCAAGGGGTGGGTTCACAAAATTTATAATATTTAAATTATTTTTTCTAGGAAATTGAGCTCAAGAAGCCCTTAAAATAATGGACATGCTCTTATACTCATCATAAAAACATTTCACATAATGTCTCACTATTATAACTAATTTAACGCATACCGATTATAGCTACCGGTTTACAATTTTGGTATGTTGTTCACATATTTCTTTTTGACTAAATTTGTTTCATTATTTACACTCACTTATATTAACATAGTATGATTATATTATTATAGCATGGAAGTTTATGTTAACTGTACACACAATGTTAAGTTGGTTTGTTATTCAAATATATTTTACATAATTAAGTTTACAGAATCACAAATCAAAACATTTCTATTAAATTTTGGATCATTTTTTAAAAAAAATATTCAAATTTATATGGATTTTATCGGGTCAACCAATGTTGGGTCGCAGAGTAACAAAGTTTTATCTGATTTTTAAATACTAGAGTTTAACTAAACCCGAACTGTATTATATACGATATCTACCGGTTCGACCATGGGTCTAAATCGGGTACGAAAACATTGTTAGGACTATTAAAATTCTTACAAATATATATTATTAATTTAGTCAAAAATGGGCAAATTATTGAGTTTTATGCCTCACCGTTAACAAATGTAATAATTTTAAAATGGACACAAATATAAAAATGATAATTTAACATACATATCTTATATATTAAAACAGAAGTCATAACTTGACTTCATGTATGATTTTTTAAAAAATGGACTATTACTAGAAAATCATGTTACATTAACTATATAATAATCTTATCATTATTATATCTTATGAAAAATCATATATATAATAACAAAGATACACTTAAAAATTTGGTTTTGGTAAATTATCCATACCTTTCAGCTTAGTCATGCAAAATATGTCAATAGATATAAGTTTAAGAATCTTCTATTATTTATAAGGAAATATGTAAATAATAGTTAAATGCATCCACAATATATTAACAAAAATCACAGATTCGTAATATGGAATATTTATATACCCTAACAAAATTTACACGCTATATATACTAGATAAATTTATTTCGATGTAAAATTTTTAAATTATATTGTTTTAAAAAAAGAAATTGTTTAAAAAATTCCTTTTTAATAAAATTCTTTATAATATTAATTTATGAAGCTATAAGTTTAGTTTTTAGCAAAAATTTCTTCGAAGTTTATATTATCTTTGAAAATTAAAGTATACTAATATTCAATGAAGCTCTATTTATATTACTTTATCTAAAAATAAAATACCAATCTAACAAATAATAAAATATAGAAGAAGAAACAAACACATGTTTGAAAAACATGTATAATATAAAAAAATTGAAACAATCTATTTGATTAAAACACGTATTATATAATATTATTATGTTTGAAAAACATTTACTATACATATCGTAAATATGTGACTACTATAATATATAACAATTTACAAGTGAAAACAAAATGTTTATATAATTAACTATACACGAAAATAAACACCCGTGCGGTTGCGCGGGTCAAAATCTAGTAAAATCTTAAATGAGCTAATTGATCAATTATATATTTTTTTAAAAGAAAATCAATTGCTTTTTGGATATAATCCATCTTTGTAACTTAACAATGTACATAAAATCAAATTACTAATTCATATCAAATATTTTTATTTATTCAAAAAAGAAATCTGCGATTTCTAAATGCGGGTCAAAATCTAGTAATATAATATATAGCAATTAAAAAGTACTCAAAATTCAATTAAAGAGGTTTCAGCTTTTTTCCCATAATTATTTTTGTCACCAGAAAATTTCGTTCGCCCATTTGTATCAACAATTCTCAACCACTTCATGTCAACAACCATGACAAACAATTTTGTTTGGTTAAACTTGTTGGGTTCATAATTTAAGCACAGTTTTACCATTTTTCTATAAAATTCTAATATATAAACTCAAATTTGAGGTTTCAAGTTCTTAAAATTTTATATCTGTTTCGTGGGACCCAGTTTTGAACAAAGCTGTTACAGATGGTCATATAAACACATGTGTTTGGTCTGAGAAAAGAATTGTTTTCGAACGTTCGAATTCTATTAGCCGTTTGGCTCACAGAAAGAAGAAAAAAAGAACAATTTCAGAAAGAAAAGATTCTTTGGAGAATTAGCAATGGCTGAATCTGCTGTTTTGCGTCACTCATATTCGTTCGCATCTCCTCTTTCTCGTCATGAATCTCATCAGGTTAGTAGTTTCTGTCCTTTCTGTAATTGATTTGTTTCCTCCTTATAACAAATTTTCCGGGAAAATTCGATGTTATTATTAACTTTATGGCCAGCTTGATAGATTTTGAGAGGGAAGTTTTCTGAATGAGTCTTCCTGTTAATTCACTGAAAGTTTCTGAGTTTGGGCTAATGATTTGTTTGGAAACACTTTTGATTCATCAGAAAGTTTACAATTTTGAAACTGCAGGATAATACTATTCATGCGCTTAGCCAGTCAGTCTCATTTGGTAGGTTCATGACAGAGAATCTTGAATGGGGAAAATGGTCAAGTTTCTCCCACAAGAAGTATGTTGATGAAGCCGAGAAATACTCTCAGCCTGGATCTGTTGCTCAGAAGAAAGCTTTCTTTGACGCTCATTACAAGAGAATATCTGAAGCCAAGAAGGCAAAAGCTGCTTCAGATGATAACTCAAAACAAGAACAACCAGAAACTGTTGCGGTCTTGCTGAACACTTTGGAGACATTGACTAAAGATGAGGCTAAAGAAGAAGAGAGCAGTGAAACTGAATTAGTTAGTGAAGAGTTTGTGATGTTGAATATTGAGAAAGATGAAGAAGAACCAGAAAAAAATAGTGTTATAGTTTTGGAACAAGAAGACGTTGTGGTGGATAAAGATGATTTGCAGGCTGTCGTTGAAGTGCTTGATGAAACGAAACAGAAGGAGAATAACAGAGAGGGTGGAGAGTTATTGAAGATGAGCTCCACTGATGAAGAAAAAGAAGAAGTAATCAAGAACTCAGCGGTGTTTAAATTGGAAACTCCAGACAAAGCAATGGAGCTTGTTGTCACACAGAAAATAAGGTGAACAAAAGACAGATATTGATTGTTGTTTTCTTTAATTAAAATTTCATCTAAACTGATTTGTTTTATGATGTTTAATCTTGCAGTGAAAATTCGATCAAGAACAATGAAAAACCAGTTCGTCCAAGATTCAATTTCTTGAAGTAAGCCGGTGAATCTTGAGTCAAATATGTGCAAGTTGAGTTGATGATGTTCTTGTCCTTATTGTATAACTCTTTTTATGTAGGCTTTTGATGGGAAACACAAAGGCTCAACGTCAAAACTCTAAGGTAAGATTTCGATTTCAACAAATCATGAGAAGAAGACATTTCTTATTTCTATTACTAATGTGGAGACTGACACTAGTTGTGTTGTTTTTTTTTTCAGAAAAAGACTGATAAGAAACCGATCAGAGGTTTTATATGTCTTTGCTTCAACCCTGAGATGGTTGGGGAAACAGAAGGGCCAACCAAAACACAGAGGAGGAACCTCTGAGAACAAAGATAGACTCTTCTCTGTTGGCTTCAGAGCTCTTAGAAAGATCTGTCCTCAGGATTCAAGTATGGTAGAAAAAAGAAAGAGAATCTTTGAGTGTACAGTAGCTAAATATGTTTGTTTGTGTTCTTGTTCATTGTGATGTGATTGCAGGATCTAAATTGAGAGTTGTTGAGTAAGTGTTTCGACTTTACAGAATTTATTATACTTACAAATGATAGTTTTGATTTAAATAATAAATCACATTTACATAGATATGATAATCATTCATCCCCCAAAGTTATTAAAGCAAATTTACAAAGCAAAAGCAAATACAATTATTGGGAGGAATAAATCAAAGAGATCAATTAAGTCATCATTTCTTCAACCAAACACCATCCTTCTTCATCAAATTCTTCCACATGATCCATCATCATCATCATCATCCCCACATCACAAAAACTCATCCTTCCATCATCATCATCATCATCTTTAAGAGACCCATCTTCTTCCTTTTCACCCTCATCATCATCACTCTGTATATTATTCACAATTTCCTCTACAACACATCCTGTGTATTCTTCTTCTTCTTCTTGATCAGATTCATAATCATGATCATAGTCATGATCATAACCATAATCATCACACATAAGATCAAGAAGTCCAGTAGCGGAGAACCCGGAAAGCTTCAAACCGGGTCTGTGCCCACCGGAAGCAACCTGCCAAGTCAGCATCTTATAGGTGACGTCATTTGATCTCACCTTGGAAGAGCCTTTACTCTTGACTTTGGATTTGGTGATGGGATGCATATGGCACTCAAGGCACCTTGCCTGGCCACATTTTCCTGTGAACTTGGAGTGATTGGTCGGCTTAGATGACACTTTGGTGAATAAACCAGCGGTTGGACGACAGGTCAAAGGGTTGACCAACTTGGCTTCTGGCCTTGGATTCAGGGACGGAGGCAGGATCCTGTAGGTTCTAACCATACCGTGTTGCTTGCCTTCACGCTTCATCTCAGGAGGTTATTGATGAGACTTTTACTACACAAAGAAGAAGAGGAAAGATGTGAAAATGATAAAAAGGTTTGCTTGAAGGATATAATAAGAAGAGGTACTTAGGAATATGCTTGCGGGACACGGAATCCTCCATAAAGTCAAAAAAGAAAAAAAACAATACCCCCAGAAAGTGTAACTTGTGGACCAAATCAAATTGAGTTGTGTAGATAACTTCCACTACACAATTATTGAAGACTTGTTATTCTTGCAGAAGAGGTATATATTATCTTTAGTCTTTTATATAGTAAAACTTTAAATAATTAGTGGTCCAATAAATTAATAAAGAGATACTCGAAATTCTATAGGATGATTATCTAGGACAAGAAAGCTTCTCACAAACTTATTTGATAGATGAAAAGCTTAAATGAAAATCAATTGCGCCAATTCATGGACACTACACATTCATGTTTGATGGACAGTAACATTGATCTTGCTCTTAAAAGAAAACTAAAGATTAACATATTATTTGTTTGATTGTTTCTATGATACATGATACATTGAAATTACTCAAATAATAAGACAACATGTGATAAACTAGGAGTCCGAAAAGTTCTTTTACTTTTGTACAAAAGGGAAGGCAGTGGAGCTAAGAAGGGCTTTGTTGTTTCTGACTTTTGATTCTAAACATGTTCATGAGAAGGATCTATGAGAGGTTCGTTGGGTTCCTGACCAGTTTCCAGAGATTTTGAGGATTTCTTCTCAGGGTACAACACATAGTGTTGAAACATGAAGAGGATATCGAAAAATATTGAAATCTGCACAAATATATGATAGAGAGATAGTTACTACTAGAGACAAACAAAGTAAGAGTCGGATGAATAATTTTTAAAAAGAAGGGTTCTGTAGTTTTCTTACGAGTGATAAAAGAGTCTTTCCAATGTTGCCATAGAAATTCACCCAAGAATCTGGAAGAAACAACAGAAAATGTTATTTTTTGTACAGCAAACAAAATTTAATGATGTGGAATATGATGGAGGAGAAGATTGGGTACTTTGGTCAATAGATTGAATAACCATCTGCAGATAGTTAGCGAGTCCTCCACCAAAATCAAGAAGAATATTCCCAATGCTCCACCCGACTGTGCTCTTCCTAGTGAAGTTCATCTTCGCCTGTGAAGAAACACATGAATAAATATGAGTAAAAAGTAATACAGATGAATGAATCTACTTGTGGACTTCAAGGAGTTGTTTCTCTAACCTGTGGAATGTACTTGACGCATGTCATGCCAACCTGAATCGAGCTATATACAACAATGAAACATTCTCAACAGATTACAGTTAGAAGGCATGGGATAAGAGTTAAGAGCATATCCATACTTGAAGATGGTAATGAGCCAGAGCCAAGAGTGTGTAGGTAAGGCAATGAAGAAACAGATAGCTGCAAACCCCCAGACAAGAACCACAAGACCAGTAGCAAATCTGGATACTTTTTGAGGTCCTCGCTGAGATTATTATTATTATTTTAATCACATAGAAACCATTAGAAACAAAGCAGAGATTCCATTTTTAAGAAAAAAAAAACAGAAAAAGAAAACAAAACGAACTTCATAGATAAAGATCTGGAAGAGTGTAAGAGCTGTAAGTATAACAGCATGGATTGAGAATGCAACATCATTGGCTGCCACAGGTATCATCTGCACACACACAAAAATAAAGAGAAAAATGATTAACAAAAATAACTCTAAAGGAACAAAATTTCTTGAAGAAGACAAGGTAACTAACCTCTTGATCGCCATAAGTGTCAAAGTACTGTTTTTGGATGATGGGGCTGAAGTAGAGGGAGACGTTGTAGATCATATACGACGAGTGCTTCGTCAAATTCAATAGCACGAAGTCGAAGTTCAATCCTACCACACTATTATCAAAACAGAAACCCAATTTCAATTTCAATTTAAAAAAAAAAAAGAACAATCTCGAGACGTAATAAAGAGGTAACCTTTTCCTGCGGAAATTGAGAATGAGCTGAGGGTAGAAGCTAATCGACCACGACGCAAACGCGATCCATCCCACGACCTCGTACGATATTTCTAACGGAATCGAATTCCACGACGCCATATATCGATTTTGACTCTCTCTTTTTTTGCTTCTAAATTTGTGTTATTGGAGATTGACGAAGAGGGAGGGAGAGGGAGATTGATGAATGAGAGAACAAAGCTTGAAACGTTGTATCCTATTGGGAAATGGAAAAAACAAATGAGAGAAGCAAAATTATGTGTTCTCATATGATGACGTGTCATGATCTTGGAGACCCTACACGTTAAAGATCGATCCCACGATTCTGGCGTGATGGGTTAGAACTGGTGATGAATTATCTTTCTGAACCTGACGGCTTTCACGGGTATGTTCGATGGCGGCTTGGCGCGATCAACAACGTTTTCCTTATCGCCAACTTTATTAAAAAAAAAAAAAAACAGATTTTAACCCAAACTACGCCTTCTTTTCGATTTTTAGTTTAGATCATTAATGATATATATTTTAGTGTTAATCATATATTTAAATTTTTATATAATTGTTTCATATATCTACTCTATTAAAATAGAATCACCTTTCAAAAATCGACTGATGAAAATTGGATGCACCCTCATTAATGGTATTTTGGTAATTATTTTTTGTCCTTACATCTATATATATTGATTGTTACAAATCATATCACATATTATATATACCTTATTTATTTTTTCTCTCTTTTTCTATTAATTACTCTAACCATATTTCATATTATATTTCATACATTTATATTGTGTTATAGACCTTATATTACATTATATTTTTGGCTGATATTTTTTTGGTATAAGCATCATATATCAACTTTATAAACTTATATTACTCTAACCATGATATAATGTCTAAGAGGCCAAACTATTATTGTCTTATACTGTTTTGAGTTATGTGGCTGATCATATGTAAACCTAATGCCACACGTGGATTTCGATTTCGATCTCCACTAATCCAGTTTATAACAATTTATAAATATATCTATGAATTCATATGTTTAAAATCCCATGCATCTGAAATAAATTTAAATTTTATGGTTTTAATCATGTATGGTTATTCTGCAGTAGAAAGATTTACAAATATCAAGATTTCTAGCATTCTAAACCTTGTGTCTTTATTTGTATCCACACAACACGCAATCTAGATCAGAACATGATGCTAATGCCGTCGAGATCAAATCTAAGAGACCAAACTATTATTGTCTTACTGTTTTGAGTTATGCTGGTGATAATAAACCTTATGTCACACATGGATTTTGATTTTGATCTCCAAACTATTATTGTCTTATTGTTTAATCTATGGAAAGTAAATTCATCAGCAAAACATGGATTTTGATTTCCACTAGTGCAGTTTTTATAGAACATAAAATCTATAGTTTGTATCACAGAATTTGAAATTTTTTATTTAGCAAGTTTTATAACCAAAAAAATTATCACTACATTGGTATAAGTATTTCTTCAACTGTTCCTATTTTTCTAATTTTTTAGTTTGTAAAATTATTTATTTCGAAAAAGTAGAAAAAGACATTAGAGAGAAAAATGGTACATAATTGGTTTTAATGTATTGGAATAATGTTTATGAATTTTTAATCTAAAAAGGCAAATTTCCCTATAAAAATTTACACTATAGAAAGAAAACATTGAAATAAAATAATCTGATTTACAAAAACAGAAGAAATATAAGGAAAAAAAAACAAAATTTGGGGGTGGGAGGGAAAGACGAGGAAACGGTTAACTGCAGAGACCAATCTAGGTTTCAACAGAACCACCTAACAAACCAATCCCGCCCAAACCAAAGGAGATGAGTCTCTTATTTCAATCATCAACGTTTTTTAATTATTTTACGGGGGAAACGCCGGCGAAAGACCCCCATGAGAAGAAATCCCCGAATAAACAAGGACGGTTCAGGGTTTAGATGGGACTAAGCAGACGCATCTCCAGGGCCCCACCCCGTTGCCTTATTCGACCAAGGCCTTGACTATTTAAACCCTATTAAACAAACCTCATATATCCGATGTGGGACAAACTCCCAAGCAATTTTTGTTTGAATGCACTGTTTCGTCGTTACTCGTGACGTCAACACCAAAATCAAACCGAATAGTTATTAAACCAAAATCTAATCGAACCGAATAGTTTTAACCAAATAATCAAAACCGGTTGAGTTTTCTTATAATACCTATAAACCGAACCTAAACCACCATCTGGTTAATAATCAAAATTTTGGTTTTCAAATACCCACACTCCAGTGAAACGACGTCGTATTGAATCAACATCTCTTCAACTCTGATCTAGAACCCTAAAGCAAGAGGTTCCATTTTCGTCGGGTCAAAAACCACCGGAGAGGGACGATCAATGGCGGCGATGCTAATCGGAAGAGCTTTTAAATCAGTTAGAGTGGTCCGTGCTCGATCCTTCTGTACAGCATCTGCTGCTCGTCAACCCGATTCCGATGGTCAATCATCGGAATCATCATCTTCGTTCACTTTCGACAAGGAGACCGAGAAACCAATCCTCGTGAAAGCCCCGAACGCACGACGGAACAACGACTCGGATTCGGTGACGATGCCGACGTCTTTCATGACGGGTTCGATCGTGGGGAAGAGGTTCTACAAGAAGGTGACGACGAGGGAAGCAGACGATGGGAATGGGTGGACTGTGATGCTCGATTACAGGACACTTAAGACACCTTCGAAGAGAGCTCTCAAGCTTCCTTCTTTGGCACTTGCTAAGGCCATTGCTGCTGAGTGGGAGTATCAGGTTTGTGAGCCATTTTCAAAATTTGATCTCTTTCGCTTGTCTGAGACAATGTATCTAGGGATGTGGAGCTAATTAGAAATGGGTTTGATACGATTTAGCTTGAATTCCTTGTGATTGGATCTGATCATTGTTTTATTCAACGTAAAGTTGAGATCTTTATGTTGTTAGTTTATGTCCCTATTTTATCAATAATGGGTTTGGTTGATTTTAGTTGAAATACTTGTAATCTGATGTTTGATCTGCGTCTGGGTTCATAGATTCACTTCTCTGAGCTATTCATCTAGTGCTCTGGAGCTGATAGTCAATAATGGGTTTGATAGGATCTGTGATCTTTCTGTTCGATCAATAACGGATTTGGTTCGTTTTAGATGAAAGTACTTGTAATTGGGTCTCTTCATTTCTTACACAAAGGTAAAGCTGACAATTTGATGTGGTTTATTATCTATTTTTCTTTGTTCTGCTTCTGTTTTTTTTTTCTAAGTTGTATAATGTGATTAATAGGTTGAAAATTGGAATTGTGGAAGTTAACTTGGTTCATGTGATGTTAAAGCATTGGACTCGGCTTTTCTCTGCTGGTTTTCTTTTGTGTCTACTTAATGTTTATGCGGTGACTGACTTGGTATGGATGCAATGATCCTATGTAGCTATAATGTGATAGGTTGAAGATTGGATTAGTCGAAGTGAACTAAGTTCATGAGATGTTCAAGCGTTAGACTTGGCTTTTCTATACTTATTTTCTTGCCATTGCTGTACATGGTTCTATAGCGTCTCCAATGTGTGATCTGCTTTAGGGTTTAGAATTGGATTAGTGGAAGTGAACTTGGTTCATGAGATGTTAACGCATTAGACGTGGCCTTTCTCTGCTCGTTTTCTGTTGTCATTCCACTTAATGTATGAATGCCATGATCATGTGTAGCTAGCAGAAGGAATCAGACCATTCACCATGCCGCTGATGAAACTAGCATGTACTGCACTTGAAAGAGTTCCTCTCACACGCCCCAAGATCATCGAACATCTATTAAGAAAGATACATCAAGATCTTGTGTTTTTCCGAGCACCTGAAGATAACGATCTAACTAGTGACGTCCATGGTATGCACTTTCTCTTCAACTCCACGGACTTGGAGTTTTTTTTGGCTTATGTCGCTTGTGTGCCTTTTGCAGAGGTTCAGGTGGAGAGGATTGATCCTCTACTTGAGTGGGTAGAAACAGAGTTTGGGATCAAACCCAAAGTTTATTCTAGCATCTTTGGAGGAAAACAAGATGAAAAGCTAGTGAAAGCAGTAGAAGCTCTGCTCAAGAAGACTAATGATGGTGAACTCGCAAGCATCGACGCGCTTGAAGCATCAGCTCACTCTGTAGTAATTGCTCTCGGCATCTACTGTGGGAAGTTGCAGATCGATGATGCAATCAAATTGATAAGACTTGAAGAAGATTTACAGGTTTTTCTTTTGGTCACTCTCTGCTAACATTATGTAACCTTCTGCTTAAAATGTATCTAATCTTCGTCACACGTTTAATGCAGGTGGACAAATGGGGATTAGTTGAAGGTGGGCATGATATCGATATTGCTGATCTCAAAGTTCAGATCTCAGCGGCTACTGTGTTTCTTGCTCTGTCCCGTCAAAACTGATCATATGTCTCTTTTGCTCAGATACCTTTTACAGTTATTCCAAAAACAAAGCTTCTCTCTGAGCTTTATCTGTTTGTACTTTGTAGAATAGATGATTGTATTGGTAAACGTTGTTTTCCTCTCTATTCACCAATAAAGCATACATTGTTTAATCCAAAGCTTATTTTCGGTTTAACTTGACCGAACAGGATTCGAGATGCAATCAACCAGATTCTCTTGATGATTAACTATCTTGATGATTAGTTGATAATTGATGATAGAATGAGGCTTAGTTTCGTCTACATCGTCATCACCACCGTTGGATCAGAGCTACAGTAATCGTTTATAAATATCGATTAAAGGCTAATGACAAACTAATGGATATGTTCTGAAACGCTTGTGCTGTCCCCGAGTAGTGTGTATGGACAATCAGACACGTGGCAATATCTGAGTCGACTAATTGCTCGACTAACATAAACAATCAGTGTAGAAGAACAAAACGTCCCGTTTCGGTTTACAAGACGCACAATACGTGCCGGTTTTCTCATGAGCTTTTTAGTTTCAAGTTGCAACAATAAAAACAACGGATCCTATATTTAAACCTTAGAAAAACGCTCATTGTTTCTGAATTTCTAATCCTTTTTAACATTGATCAAATTCGCTATCAAACAAATAAAAACGTAATCAAGAGCGTATTCATTAAGAACACCAAAAAATAAAAGCAGAAGATCATCTCATCTGCTAAAATCTCATATTTTACACAAATCTTTGAATGGCATCGGTAAGACTTTCTTATTTTTCACATTTTTGTTACAAGACAATTACGTTTTTTAAATCACTTTACTTTTCAGGATTGTTTTTTTTTTTTAATTTCTTGTATGCTTTGCTTTGCATTGGTTTTGTTCAAATATCTGTGTTTTGTTAAATAAACCATTTGTTTGTGTTGGAATATCTCTTTAAAAAAAAGCAGAATAATCAACAAAGACAACAACAAGATCGACCATTACCAAAATTCGGAGAATGGGACGTGAACGACCCAGCATCAGCCGAAGGATTCACCGTTATATTCGCTAAAGCTCGAGACGACAAGAAGACAAACGCTAGTGGCCGTGCTCCCTCGCAACGCCGTGATAACAACAAAGGGCAAGAAGAACCTTCGGTAACATTTCTATCTTTTTTGTCACAAATTTGGGTCTAAGTTTACACAAACAAAAACATTAACCTCTATATGTTAATGTTCCGGAAACGCGAGGACTAAAATGAAAAATATTTTTCTTTTGCAGAAGAAACGATTCTGCTGTTTCTAAGGAACAAGCATCAAGAAAAGGCCGAGTCAAAAGGAACATTTGTAATATCAAATTGTTAGATCATCGTAAACAGTTTCATATACACTGAATCTGTATAAGTGTATCATTACAATAGTGGTTTACATCTAATTCATGTTCTCAACTTTAGTACTTACACAATCTCAACCTCTCTTAAGCCACGGTTTGGTGAATCTTGATCTGACCCATTGTTGCTACTTGTCTTATTCTTCAAAGATTTCTGGCTGAAAATCCTAGAAACAGTTTTCTTAACCGGTTTTGAACCCCCTCCCCCTTCAAACCGGTTATGTTTCTTGTCTAGATCATTTGATAGTTTCTTGACTAGTTCAACAAAGTGTCTTCTGAATGTTGGATATCTTGATACTGATTTGGTCAATCCTTGAAGCCTGCGAGCAAAGGCGTCAAGTTCACCTTTTCTTAACTCCGTCATAGGAGGAGGAGATTCAGAGCTTTTAAGTCTCTCTGAATCTCCAAACAGCAGTACCAGCTTGCCAAGATACCCTTCTTCTTCCTCAGATAGGTTTGCAGCTTCAATCTGGTCTTTAAGGATTAGAAACGGATTCAGAAACCAATCAAAGAAGGTGTCTTTTGGTCGGTTCCTTGTTGTTATCTCTGTTCTACCGTCACCTATACAAAAACAGATAAGTTCTAAAGATACGTTTAGCTGTAAAACTGTTGAACCATAATTTGCAAAACGTACCTAGTAACAAACCGGTGGAATTGGACTTGATAGAGCGTAGAAGCTCGTGAAGAAGAGAATAAGCAGGTAAGCCAATGCTGATCACTTGACTGCCTTTGCTAGACTTAGCTTCTTCTATGTCCTTTGAGTTTATAATCCCTTTTGTTACCATTATCTCTCCGTACTGCCTACATTCCACAAATAGAGCTTCCAAAAGCTGCAAATACCATTAAGAAATGATTAGCAAAGATGTTGAACAAACAGTCAAGAGAGAGAGATTGTAGAGTACATCAAGTGGCTTCAGGTCAATCATTGGGCCTCTGTTTGATCCTCCTCTTGATGGAGTTGTCTTGAAAGAGTTTGGTCTTGAAAGACCACCTGTACCACCTTCCTCTTCCTTTCTTCTAAACTTTGGCCTGAATAAAAAAACAAGTTTCTAGAGTCACGAGAGAAAAAAAAGATTTGTATGTTTAGCAATTGGTGTAGAGAAACAAACCTAGGAAAGCAAGAACCTTCAGGCATGTCAAGAACATCATTGCTATACTCATCGTAAATAGAAACAGAAGCAACAACATAGCAGAGGCCAAAGAAGAACGACGATTCCTGTGTGCATTGAGACAACACAAGCACAAAAGATTCAACACTTTTTTTCTCAAAATCAAGCTGAGGAGCTTGTGATGATAACAAACCTGATATGAGACTACACCGGCATAAGCACCAAGGAAGACACTAGAGACCACAGATCCTAAAACAGCTCCAACAACACCTAAAGGCCAGAGTAAGATCACAAGGCCAGCAATAGGGACACACATGGTCTCCAAGAAAGGACCTTCACGTCCAATGAGATCATGGAACAAACGGCGCCATCCTTTAAACAACATGTAGGGGCTTTTGAATAAGGCTATGAGTGAAATCATTGGGAAGTCGAGAAGAATTCCAAGAACCGCAGCTATCAAAGCGCCTGGAATTTGTAGTAACCTGAGAAATTCCACACACAAACTGTAAGAAACTCACTATAGATTAATCAGTATCACACAACTTTAACTGAGTTTTTGTAAGAGTTGTGTAGACCTTATTTCATAGTAGTGATGATCGGCGCTAGATGTTCTAAGATCATCCATGAAGGAAAAGTAGGAGTGAAAGCAAACATCTCTAAAGTCGCAGACAACAGTGAAGCTGCCTTTAACAGTGCTCCAAGTTCCATCCTACACAATACAGAATAAATGGTTGAAGAAAATGATTCACAAAAGAAGCATAGAGAGTAAGAAAATAAACTTACATAAAAGCAATGGAAAAATGGATTAGACTTCCCTTCACCAACAGCATCGAATGTGGCGAAGATTGGGGAAAGAAAGCCATACAAAGCTCCTCCGAGGATACTTCCTATGATACTAACCACAAGCCAGAGAATGATGGCGAGAGGAAGGCATAAGCAAAGAAAGAGCTTCAATATTGGACCTAACTGTTTAGCACTGAAACCAAATAAAGATACCATTTTCAATATCGAGTTAGAAGGTGACAATGAGACACATAAGAGAGAAAGTTAACCTCGTTACAGAATAGAGAGTCCAAAACGCATGAACTGGTAAAAGGCCTAAGATGATTGCAGAGTTCCCAGTAGCCACAATGATGCATATAATCGGGCAGAAAACGATACCTACGCAAACCATAGAAGAAGTAAAGAAACATATCATTGCCATAACAAATCATGAATTTGGAAATAGAAAAAATAAGTGGAACTTTATGGCATTGAAGAACACTAAACTGTGAACCAGATGAAAGTAAAATGCTAATTTCATACAGTGTCACTAGCTTTGTAAGCAATTGGTAAATTAAAGGAAGGAAAGTTATCCTATAAATGTTGTCTTGTCGTTTCAATTTCAGTATGGAACATTTTGGTACTGAATAACCCTAAGCTGCCTATTTCAAGTGACTTGTAGAAGCACTGAATGAATGAAACAAATATATTGCCCTCTACATTGACCCCTAAACAGAATAAGCACAGGCCAACATCAAGTGACTAAGTCAAATCCATAAATAGGACCACGAAATAAATTTAAAACCCCTGATAAAACCTGTCTCATAAAGATTCAAAATTGGACTAAAAGGAAAAGACTGCGAACATGAACGAATTCCAGTAGGATTAAGTGAAAGTTGTCACCTTTAACAACACCCAGAAGGAGTAAGCCAGTGAAATAAGGAATGAAGAGTATGAATCGCCATAGAGATGACAATACTCCCGTTGGAGGCTCCATTCACCTTTCTTCTCCTTCCAAATATATAACCCAGAAAAGTTCAGTGAAAATGTCGCATTTATAAAAATCAATTTCGAACCCTAGAATCAGAGAGGAAACGGTAAAGCAGAGATAATGAGAGAAGAAAGAGACAAACTGTCACAGACAACGACAAGAAGTAATCTTTGTATCCGAGGATTTTAAGAACAAGACACGAAAGAATCGAGAGACAAGAGTGTGTGTGTGTTTGTCACTTGAGATTTTTGTAAACTTACGAAAACCGTGTTCTCTGCGAGTAAAAACCCTTCTACCTAAAAAAAAATTACTACACAACAATTAAGCAAAAACACGACGAAAAAAAGACAATTTATATTTACTTGCTTTCTTCTCCTACCTAACAATCCTTGTGTGTTTCTGTTGATGGGGTTTTAAACGTATTGATTTTGCTACCAAATAATCTCCTCCCATATATTGACACGAGGAAATGAACAAATGACACTTAAGCGACACACTTTATGCCTTTATGGAACCACACTATTATTGTTTTTCATTATCATTATTCAATTACGTTATTAATTAATCAGATATAAAGCAAGGAAAATGTATGGTGTTGAGTTTTACAAATATTATGAAACAACTTTTTAACATCAAACCGAATATGACATCGAATAAATTTGCAATTAAAGTATTTAAATAGAGCAGGAAATTGTACTTTGACCAAAAATGTATGTATGATGTATATACCTTTCATGTTTTCAATTAAAATATCTAGAAAGAAGACTGTTGTTGTTCAACAATTTAATTTGGTTTAATCTCTTTTTGTGGGGCAAATCTTTTGCAACTACAATATTGGCGTACGGTTGTCTCAACACACCTCCACCGTTGAGACGTAGGTGGATTTCATCAATAATTTTCTTTTTAAAAGAAGTGAAAAAAGAGAACTCCAATACTTTCTCGACAAATGTCACTTCATCAATATCTTAGCATTTTGCAAAAAAAAAACAATAATATAATCAAATTATACTAACTTTAACATACTTTTATAAAGAGAAACTATTAATGTAGTTTTCATAAGTTTTTAAACAATGGACTTACTCTTTATATATTAAAACAGAAGTCACAACTTTGATTCATTTGTAATTAGTAGTATTCCGGCGCTATGCACCTGTTTCTTATGTTTTATTTTTACAAAAATTTACAATTCATAAGCCCTTTCTCAAAAAAAAAAAATTTACAATTCATATTATAGTCTTAGTAAAGAACATATATTTAAAAACATGATATTTTTAGATTTATTTAGCGACCGTTGTGTGTATTATTTGGTTTTTCAGTTGCTTAGTACGAAGTACAATAATAATATACCATGATTTTGACCCACTTTTGGTCATATTTTCTATATGTTTTAATTATAATTATCTATGTTTTGGAGTCTACTAGGTATGTTTTCAGATTCAGGAGCATTTTGTGGTAAAGTGATGATTTAGGTGCCTTTTGGTGCTTAAAGAAGAGTTTTCCAAGATGACTATGAAGATCCGACATAAGAGATACATATCGATCGATACACACCCTGTGTAATCGATCGATGACGCTTCCGTAGAAGTTGAAGTCGAGATACTCCATCGATCGATGTACGCAATGTACCATCGATCNAGCATTTTGTGGTAAAGTGATGATTTAGGTGCCTTTTGGTGCTTAAAGAAGAGTTTTCCAAGATGACTATGAAGATCCGACATAAGAGATACATATCGATCGATACACACCCTGTGTAATCGATCGATGACGCTTCCGTAGAAGTTGAAGTCGAGATACTCCATCGATCGATGTACGCAATGTACCATCGATCGATACAAAGCGTGATGAGCAAGATTTATTTGGCCAACTTGAAGCCCAAGTTCTCACCAAATTACAAGATTGCCCCTGACGAGTTTTTAACCTAATTGTACTCCCTATTTATAGTTATGCCTATGAACCCTAGAAACACACAAGATTTGAGTTTTGTATTCTATTATATACTTAGCAATAAAAGCATTTTCTTTTCTTTATATTCTTTTGCTATGAATCTCTTAGCT